AATGGGGATGCTCCGGGCAGGATGCCTGGAGCTGGGGGGGCAGGGTGTACTCTGGGCAGGGGGGGATGCCCAGGGCAGGGGTGGGATGCTCAGGGCTGATGGGGACACTTGGCGGGGGGGGGGCGGGAGACCGCCGGGGGCGCTCACTGTGCTGGTTGATGAGCATGCGGATCGAGATGCGGCTCAGGTAGAAGCGGTCGAGGAAGTACTGGATGTTCTGGTTGGAGACGGGGTCGTCCCCGTACGCCTCCTTGTACTCGATGACCCCCTGTGCCATGGTGGGCACCACGTCGTTGTGCCGGTTGCGGATGGTGACCAGGGCGTCTGTGAATCTGGGGGGGGGACACAGGGATGGAGCTGGGAGGAGCACCCGGTCCGGGCAGAGCTGAAATCCGGGCCAGGTTTTCCCAGGAGCCGGTGGCACCAGGGAAAACCCGGAGCAGAATCCAGTGGCACTGGGATGCTCAGGGCACTGTAGGGTGGGGGGCACTTTGGGGGTCATGTAGGGTGCAGGGTGCCAGGACTCCTCGGTGACACCAGCTCTCACCAGTACGAGTCTGGGAGGAGGTGGCACCCCAAGATGGGGGACAAGGGGTGTCATGGACATGCTGTCCCCCCCAACTTACTGTCCCAGGGTGGCCTGGTCCTCGGGGTCCCTGTCGAGGAACTCCATGATGTCCAGCAGGCTCTGGACGTACCTGGGGAAGGAGCTGGTTACCCCCCACCCGGTACCCCCAAAAAGAGGGGACACCCCGGGGACCCCACACTGGGGTGGCACAGTACCCTAGGGCACTGCCCCATGCAGGGAGAGGGGCTAAGCACCCCCTCAACCAAGACCACCCCCCCCAAAAAAAAGCTACGGCCCCAAGAAACCACCCTGTGCTTGGGGGGGGGGGGGCTCAAACTTATCCCCCCCCCGCTGACACGGTGGCCCTTGGGGACACTTGGGGATGCAGCCCCTCCAACGGGGTGGGGGGCACGAGGGTTGCTGCAACCCGGGGTCCCCAGCACGAGGGCTGTGGGAGCGTGGCACGGCCGAATCCTGCTGCCTGCTGGTGCTGGCAGGGACGGGCAGGGCTGGCAGGGGCTGAGGACGCTGCACAAACAACTCGTCACGTGGCGGCAGTGGGAGAAGGTTCATGCTGCCGGAGCTGGCAAGGGGATACGGCACTTAAAGGGACACCCGGAAACCCCCGTGAGAACACGGACCCCCTGGTAATCAGGCCTGGGTCAGCTTTTTTTGGGGGCAGGATGTGGAGGTGATGCTGCTGACACCCCCCCCTCCGATGGTTGGGGACACCCCGCTGGCATGGGGGTGTCCCCAGAGGGCCTGCAGCTTTGTCACCCAAAGGTATGCCGTGGCACCAGCTGGGTACTACCCTGCCAGCCACCCAACCTTGTCGTGTTGTGTCCCCCCCCCCGGCACCAGCAGCTCCCTCTGGACCTGCTGGGGAGGACAGTTGGTGGCAACGGTGGGACCTGCGGTGGCAACGGGACCCCCCCTGGGCGATGGCGTTAGCAAGAGTCGTGGTGGCAATGAGAGCCGTGCAGGTGACAGCGGCGGGACCCCCCCCGGTGGCACCCAGCTGGGTGACGGTGGTGGGACCCTTCTGAGTGACAACGGTGGGACCTCCAGTAGCGGGACCCTGGGCAGCGGGACCCACAAGTGCCAGTGGTAGGACCCTCGTGATCTACGATGGTGGGACCCCCATGGGCTACAACAGTGGGACCCGTGGTGACAGCAGGACCCATGCAAGTGCCACTGGTGGGACCCTCATGAGCTACAACGGTGGGACCCCCGGCAGCAGGACCCATATAGATGATGGTGGTGACACCTCCACACCCAACGCCATATGGGACTGGGTGGTCCCGGAGGTGGCAGGACTCCCGGTGGCAGCGGCCCCTGCCACCTCCCCGGCTTCGGACCCCCCCCAATCTCACCAGCTCTGCACCAGCTGGACGGACGGGGTGCGCAGGACGCGGTCCGGCAGGAGGTTGATCTCCTTCATGATGTTGGAGAGGCGGACGGGCAGCTCCTGCCGCAGGAAGGCGAAGGAGGTCTTCTCGCAGGCATTGCTGGAGCCTGGCAAGGTGGGGACGGACAGACAGACGGACACGGGCTGAGCCCCAGCTCCATGCCCCCAGCCCCATGGCTGGCTTCGCTCTTGCTGCTCCGCTGGTGGGGACTGGGGGCGTACTGGGAAGACTGGAGCAGAGGAGGCAGGAGCAGGTCCCTGTCCCTGGCTGGAGGGGGACCCTGGAGGGGCTGGGAGGGCTTGGGGGGGACACGGCTCAGCCCACTGGGGAGGGCAGGCTAGGTCCCCAGTGCAGCCCAGACTGGGGCTGGGAGCCCCCCGAGGGCAACTAGGAGGGGAGAAGGACCTGAGCCACCATCAGAGCTGGGGACACCCAAACCAGACCCTCAGCCCAGTGACACTGGGGTGGGGAGAGCCCCTGCCACAGGGACACACCGAGGTGTCCCCAGGACGTGGATGTCCCCAACCAGGAGCCAGTGAGGTGGGGGGGGTTGCGGGGGCAAAGCTGTCCCTGAGCCCCTGGAGGGGCACATCCCTGGGGACAAGGGACACTGGGATGGAGCTGAAATGTGAGGATTTGAGGGGGGTCCTGGTGCTGGTGGGATGGGGCAGAACTGAGGGGGGGGCCAGGCAGAGGCTGGGGACCCCCAGGGTGCAGCCGCCAGTCTCGGCCGGGGACGGTGCGGCCAGGGACATGGGTAAATATAGCGCTGACATTAAAACCCCTGGGGGGGGGGACAGGAGGGGCCCAGGATGGGTGACAGCGATGGGTGGGGGCACCTCCATCTCCCTGGGGTATTTACCTGGGGTGTTTGCTTGGGGGAGACAGACCTCATGTCACCCACCCTGGGGGTGCTGGGGGGGGCCAGGCAGGTATTTACCCGGCTGCAGGGGGGGACTGGGGATGTGCAGGGAACACCTGGCTGGGGGTCCCATGCAGGGGGTTATTTACCTGATGGGGGCAGGAGGTACCCCACGGGGGGGGGTATTTATTGGAGAAGTATTTACCCAGGGGGTATTTACCTGGAGGGGCATGGGGGGGATATCCACCCAGCTGTTCCCCAGGGGGATATTTACCCAGGTTGCTACTTGCCTGCAGAGAGTAACACCCCCCTGTGGGTGGTTATGGGGGAGCAGGGGGGAGACCCCCCCCCCCCAAAACAGAAGCATATCAGGAGACCATATTCCCAGCCCCAGTTATTTACCCGGGACTGGGTATTTCCCAGCAGGGGTAGGGAGGAGAGATATTTACCCGGGACAGAGAGCACTTAGGGGGTAACACCCCCCGCAAAATATAATAACAGGGTATTTGGGGGGATTATAGATACCCAGGCCCAGATACCCACTAGAGCAGATCCCCCCCGGGTATTTATTTACAGGCGCGGGGGGGGGTGGGTGTACTTACCGGGGGGAGGGTGCACGGAGGTCCCTCCCCGGAGCACCGCCCCCAGACCGGGTATTTAGCACGGAGGGGGGGTATTTAGCACAGAGGGGGGATATTTAGCCGGACCGACTGTAATCTAGGAGGAAAGGAGGGAGCGTTCTCCTTCCCGGGACAGCACCCACGACACCGTACCGGGGGTACCCACCCGGGGCGGGGGAGCGGTGGGTC